TGTAAACAAAGGTTTTACTACATTTTGCATAAAAGTCTTACCAGGTAGGGGGGGAATTAAAAAAAAAAATACTTTAATTATAGTTTTTGATAGAAAAAAAATTCACATTTTCCCCCACTAATTTATTCATTTTACATCCTGACTGAAGGCCTCCCTTGCACACTCTTCCCCATTCTTCCCTCTCCTTCTCCTCAGAGAAAGGGGAGGGCATCCTCTCCCTGAGGCCAGACAAGGCAGCCCCATTAGGGGAATGGGATCCAAAAGGCAGGCATTAGAGTCAGAGATAACCTAGTTGTTGAGGGACCCATGCGAAGACCAAGCTTCACATCTGCTACATATGTGTAGGGGTCCTAGGTCTCGCCCATGCATGCTCTTTGGCTGGTGGTTCAGTCTCTGAGGAGCCCCCATGGGCCCCGGTTAGTTGACTTTGTAGGAATTCTTGTGGAGCCCTTGACTGCTCCAGCTCCCTCAATCATTCCCTCAACTCTTCTATAGGACTCCCGAGGGAGGAGGAGCGCTAAGGGGAGAGTAGAATGTTAAGCCAGTGTCATGGTGGGCTTCAACTGGCAAGGTTGTTGCTTAGGTTTGGTAGCAAAGAGGCATATGGGTACACCCTGCGTTATTTTTACATTCTTTACTTGAACTACTTGATGTTCCAATACAAAAACAGTGTGATCAGTGCCATGATAGAAAAACAAGACACTAAGGCAGCATCTGACTGATGCTTTGCAAGGTGGGCAGGCTTCCTGGACACTGGCATTCACAATGACTCCTTGGGGACATTAGCTGGGAGAGGAAGGGAGAATGTGGTTGATCCAAAATTCAAACCTCATTATCTGTGGCTGGTGCTAAAGAGGCTCAGATTTGATTGGCCCCAACTCCAGGCTGCTCCAGCTCACTGATGAGTGAGCTGTGTCTGCTGTACTGCTACCTCTGATGTTACAGCTCCAGGCACAAAAAGCCTTCCCTTGAGTGGATAAAAAAAAAATAATAATAATAATAAAAATAATAATAATAACTAAAACCAAACAAAACGCAGTGGAGATCAGAGCTGTAGCTGCCTCAAGAGTGACCAAGGAAAGAAAGGATGGAGAGACAAGACAGAATGGAGAGCTGGTTTTAAAAGGATAAAAAAATCCAGGCAAGTCCAGGAAGGCATTCAGGTTTCCAGACCCCAAGCTGGGAGACAGCTCTCCCACTGGCCACTGCGGGGGGGGGGGGGGGGGGGGGGGGG